GATTTATAAATTTAGTAAAACGCAAAATATTTTGCAAAAATATTTTGATGAAATTTATGTTAAATTATATAAAATTGAGTCTGAGTCCATAAAACAGCTTAAAATAACCTGAAGGTTTAAAATAACCTGAAGGTGTTAAAATAAAATAACCTAAATGCTTTCACAAAATACCGCAGGAAAAAGGACCATTGATGCGAATCCTGTTTTCCGATTCTTTTTTCTTCGTTTAAATTTCATTTTCAAAGCAAATATAAGAAAATTGATTTAGGACGCGATATTTTTTACAGATAACTGAGGAATATTTTTGTGCCTTTGTTGTGGAACAAAAGCTGGAGGTACAAATTACTTTATTTAATACCAATCTCAAGCAAAGTAACCACTAATAGAGTTTCAGTTTAGTATGGGAGAGAATGGAGGTAATTGAAATTATCCGCAAAGAAGTTGTAAGACAAAGGTAAGATGTGATTAATCCCACACAATTCAGTTGAACAATGCGAAAATTAGGCACAAAGCCCAACGCACAGAAAGCCAATTTGCTAAATTGAAAGAACAAAAAATATAAAATAAAATACAAAAAAAAAAAAAAAAGAAAACAAGAAAAAAATTAAAGAGGAAAAAAATTACTAAAAAGAAACTAATCTAAGGTATAAAAGGAAAAGAAGAAACTATAACACAAAACTAGAGACAGAAAAATACGTACAAAAAGGGAAGAAATAGGGAAAATAGGATATGACAGAATAGAAATGAGATATGGGTCTGCAAATTTATAATATAAAAGAAGTAATTATTGAAACAAAGATATATAATTAAAATTCAGAAGGGAAGAAATTTATGAAGAATAAAACGCAGAAAAAAAGGAATATTGAGTTAAAAAAAAATGAAAAAACTTCATTTAAGATGAAGTGTATTTACGGGAGAGCCTGGAATACTGCTTGTTGAAGGCTTGCAAAAAAGCTGTCTTTTCGAAATAGAACAACAATTTTATTTCAAAGTGAAAATTTGAACTGTACACACAATTGTTTCGAATAGGTTCACAAAAAAGGAACCTATTCCAAACAAGACAAAAATTTTATTTTTAGCAAAAACTGGAACTGTCCATACAGTTTTTTTGAATAGGCTTACAAAAGATGAGCTATATACAGTAGTATAGATGTCCAATGTAATAAATTTTCTTTATGACAGTACCGAACTCTGACAACAATGATTACAGCATTTTTTAAACTAAACAAATAACGCGAGTAAAGAAGTTAATTTACATTTACATATAGCTGTGGTTTATGCGTTCGCTCTAATATTAGTATAGTAAGGGCTTTGTTGTTGTTGTTGATGCCGTTTAAAAAAAGAAACATTAAGTTGACAAAACAAAAAAAAATAAAACAAAATAATAGCAATTTAAATTTGATGTAACTTTTGGGCTAATAAATAACACTTGAGTCAGTGTTTCAATGAGCAGGTTCGATTTTCGAAGCCTGACAGTTGCAGTTTAAGAATTATATATTGACTAGTAAGTCTATATATTTTTACAAATATCGCTGACGATGTATATTTGTCAATATTTAAAATAGCTATATGGCAAATTAGAAATATTCTATTAATTACAAAGAAAAAAAAATTGTATGTTGTATTTTATAACTATTCACTTCTTTCTTATTAAAATTTATTTAGAGTACTGAATACTAAAGAGATTTATATTCTATATAAATTATTAGTAGAACATATTATCAACCGAAATTTCTTGCTTATTATAACTTAAAAAGTATCTTTTTAGAAAGAAAGCTAGAAAAGCCCATTAACAACCATACACGGAATTATTTTCTTCATTTTCTCTAATGAAAACTAGAAAAACATAACAAAGCATACATAAAACAAGTGAAAGGAATATTTGATATTCTGTAAAAGTAAATTACCTAACAGCACTATTATATAAAATTATGTAAAAGTATACTTACTGGTAAGTATACTCTCATTTCCAACAAAAAATAAACAACAGAGAAGGCAAGGCAACTTAGTGAACAAGGATGCGTAATCCTTGAGATGCGTAAAATTTTTTATTATGAAGCATTCGCGTGTTTTGAAAATTATTATACGTACTATGCGTATCTCTCCTGTTTGTTTTTAAAGTGGGTGTTATGGTAATTTTGAGTCCTTTTATTCAAAAATAGAAGAACAAAAAAAGATTATCATTTTCATTCTAAAATCTTACATAAGAAATATGTGAAACCTTATGATTAAAATGATTGTAATTCTTCAACAAAAGCTTATAATAACGTGTAGGCTGTTAAAATTTTTGAAGTAATATCTTAATTTTGAGTATTACAATGATTATCAAAAAAAGGTCAAGCACCGTTTATTTTCTTTTATAATGCTTCCAAATGTGTTTAAGGTGGGTTGAAACTTCTATACGAAAATTTAAACGGAAGATAAAAACAAGAAAAATATTTAGATAAGTTATTCATATATAGTGTTTTGTTTTTTAGAAGTCTTCCCTCTCCAATGAATTTAGTACTCAACATGAGGATTGGTTCATCCCCGAGTTAAAAGTTACGTACATGCATCATATTAATCAATTTACCATTCATGAGAATATTATAAGGCTTCTTAAATAAATTTCTGATAGTTCTTCCAGGTATTTCAAACATAGGTTTCTAATAATTCTCACGTCTCCAACAAGTTAGAGCTTGATCATATTTTTTGATCCTCATAATAAAAAAATCATGCCTTATATGCTACAGGTAATGCTACATATAAGATAATGCCTAATTAAAAGAGGAACAGATGACATTACGGACTTCAACTACTATTTACTTTTGTAGTAGTGTATTACTTACTACATGTACAAGAGTTGTTCAGTGGTAGTACAAGCGAATTAATTTCGATAGTTAATTTTTGAGGAAGGAGACATCTATTAATTATTTACAGGTACAATCCATTATGTGGGTACAGTACTTAGCAACGCCTTCGCGTGCCAATTCACATGGAATACTGTGTGTAAGTTACTATGTCCTGATATCCGAATCATGAACACCTATTTACATCTGATTTTATACCTTTTATACACCTTTTATATGATATCTGATCTTATAATGATGTCGTCCAGAGATGTAAAGTCAGGATTCAATATATGGATAGTGTTTGGGTACAAAAAAAAAGTGCAACTAAATAACATAATATTATTATTATTATAGAAGACGATAGCACTTTTCACGTCATAAGATTATGAGGTTAAGTAGATGATGGACAAAAAATTTGATTTATAATTTCTTAACGTGTATTAAAAAAAATATAGTCACAGCAATCTTTTAATGCAAGAATAAGGGGAAGACACTAAAACAGATGGATAGAAGCAACATGGTTTTAAAGAAGAATAAGAATAATTAAAAAATATTTTTTTTTTGTCGAATGTGACGTGTCTTAACATACGACGAAAACTATTAATAAGTTTTTTCTAATTCTATGCCAAATAGGACTTTGATAAGTGTTAATAGCTTTGCATCTATTGGTGTGAGATTAGTCTAATATTTTGTGTGATACCACACAAATGTTTTCTGAACATTATTTTTTAATTATCATCTGATTTTTATTTCATATCAATTTTTTAGTTTATCATATCTTATATATTGTACAGAAGTAGTCATATAATCGTATTCATAATTTTTTGTTTCTATAAAGATTTTTTTTTGACTTTGGTTTTGTTCTGCGATCCTGTTTTAATTATTAAATCTTTTACATAAAAATTTATTATTATTACTTTTTCTTATATATTTAGTTATTTATACTATTATACTTTCAATTTCTTTTTATTTTTCGTAGGAAAATAAATATTACCAATAGCAGATAAAAAATTTATTTGTTTCTCTATATGTAGTTAAATTGTATATAGTTATATTAAATATAGTTATATTACGAGTATACCTATATACCTCTATTATAGATAGTTATATTATTGCATATTTATCTTTTTAAATTGTATTAAAAAAATATAATAAAGCATTTATAGTTAAGATATTGATTATTTAATTGATGTTTTATAAAAATTCTTTTCTTTTAATATTTAAGGATTTTATTATTTGTGTACTTGTACCTACATTAAATAAATTCAAAATTATTAAACCAAATTTTTACAAAGCAAAAAATATAATAATACTTCTGCATTTATTTTTTAATTAATGTTTTACCATTCGACTTTATTTGTGTTATTATTTTAAGGTAAAAATATTTTTTTTACTTTTATATATTTTTTTAATAGAAAATGCAATTTAATTAAATAAATAATGTAGTTATTCAATAATAAAAATTTGTGACTCTGAATGAAAAACTTTTAATTGGATCTTTTATTTTATATAGTAATTATCCATATACATAAATAATACCGAAGTTTCGAGACTTATTTGATTTCATATCTAATAATACTTTGTTCTAAGGAAGATGTCAAAGTAAATTTCGAAACGTCGGCGATATTTATATAGATAAAAACTATATAAAATAAAAATAAAAAAAACAACTTAAAAGATTTTTGTTTAGATTCACGGAAGCCTTTGAAAACAAAAGTAAATACTATAAAAGTGATATTTTATATTTTTATAAAATAATTATTTTTGTTTTTAAATAATTTTAATTAATAAAATTAAAAAAAAATTTGACGTCCGAAATATCGTTTGCATCTGCGATACTTTATTTATTTTTTTTTAACAAATCTTAATATTTTTACTTCTATATTTTTGAATAATATTTTATATTATATTTATTTTTTATATTTTATAATATATATTTTATTTATATTAAATAAAATACTTGTTCAAAATATCGATCATATCTTCGATACCCAATTTTTTCTCACAAATATTACCATAAATAATTGCAAAAAGAATCGTTATAAAAAAAAAAAATTTAAATAAAAATTTGCAAAATGCATTATTTAAATTTCAATTAATTATATATAGAATTTTTAGTGTTTATTGTATTGTGTCACAGTTAAAGACCACAAATTGAGCAAAGAAATATTTCTCAAATTAACAAATTTGCTAGGGAAAATTTTTTAATAAACCTAATTTGATTACTTGCTAATCTTTTTTTTATGATTTTTTTTAAGGTAATTAATATAAAAATGCCAAAGAATTGGCATCGTCGTAAATTTCTTTTTTTAATAATTTTCTACGGATACAAATTATTATATTTTTATTATAGGAAAATGACTCAAGTGGTTGGTTGGTCTCTAATTGTGACGCAAAACTAACTGAGGAATTTTTAAAATATACGAAATAATTTTTTTTTTTTGTTTTTT